TTATTATTTTACAACTGTTAAATAGCGTTATATGGCAAAAGTGGTCTTGGCACGTGCGCTTTAGACAACTGCTCGCAGATACAGTGCGGGCAGGCTAACTACATTATGAAATTATGGATAAGAGCGATATCCATAATAAGCATCAAGCTCATCACCTTGCACATTCACCACCCTGTGAAGTTCATCATAACTTATCTGTTATCTTATCTGTAGCCTAAAACTGCATGCTTTCCCGAGTCATAGTGGGAGGACCACACATGTCGCGTGACCCCAAATTAACTTCGATATGATGGTTATTATATAAACATTAGCGCATGAAGGCGTTTCATTGGCCATTTCTTGCATAATTACATTTTACAGACACAAAAGATCCCACCATGTCGAACGAACAAATTGCCTTTCGGTATTTATAAAATTGTACCAGCATTTCCTGTTTCCATCAGCTCAGCCCGATCATGACTTTGTTCATGTGTCAGGTAGGTAATTCAGCCACATGAAATGGTTGGATGGAGACTTGGTTAGTGTTGCAGAAATGCGTAGGCCATCTACACGAGTGTGGCCTAGGCTATCGGCTGGTGATGAATATGCCTACAGCCCGCCCCATATAGTTTCAGGAAAGGCAAGATTGCTCAATTTTATCTGAAGAAAGATTATTTAAGCAAGACAAAGGCTAAATAAACTACTTTGTCAATATTTGTATTTAAACTTTTTTTTTTTTGGGGGGGGGGGGTTGTAGCGTAGTAGGCGTAAAGCCTATGCTTATTCAGATTGAGTAGTAAGCCTAGGCCATCTCCATTGGAAGACCATAAAAAGATTCAGACAAACTTTGTGCAAATTGAATGAGCAATTAGGTTACTGATAGGCTGGGAAAGATGGGGTGACTTAATTTCTGTGCTTGGCCAATGAGGTTGCTCGATGGAAGTTGGAGGGAAATTGAGCAGTGTGACTGGAAAGATCCACTAGGGGGTAGGCTTATTCGCTCAGATTATAATTAAACAGGTGTTTTACATACAGGTAATCACCTACGTCTATGGTAATCACAGCTCCAGGCCTTTCGAGCTGTTGAGTATATAAGGCTACGTTTTTTGGTCTTCTTTAGACAGGACTATGTTACTTTGACCTTCCATTAATTCGAGTCAGTAAATAAAAGTAAACTACGTTGAAAACGGATTGCAAATAACCAATGGCTCTCAAATTCAACTTGAAGGTGTGTAGATAATGTTATGCTTATATTGAAACAAAAGGACACGTTTACAAACAACAATGTAGAAAATTAGTGAATGAAATCTGTTAAATGTTATGTAGGTTAATTGCTGTGGAATTTACCAGGTATTTTTGGTCCTCGTGGTCATTTTTTGCTGTGCCTGCGACTGTGTCCTTGGTGAGAAACGTATTTGTCTGACTTCTATAGATTTGACGGTATTTACTCGATAATGTTATGAGTGGCCTCCATTGATTTCATGTTTTCTCTCAGGAATATGCAATGTGACACACTGCACTGACACAACTAAGTGTTTGATATCCCCCGGCAAACGCAACTGCAAATGTGCTGTGGGCTACTATGGAGACCTGTGTGACAAAGGTACTTTTTTTTGGGTGTTTAAAAAAATAAAAATGTGTAGACCAAAATAACTAGAATAGCTATGTTGGAACTTATCTTCTAAATTGTATTTTATTTATTTTAGCTGCAACTATCAATGTCAAGTGTGGCAAAGACTACATTACGATCATGGTGAATGAGGACTTTTTCCAGTACTACAAAGTACCTGTGGAATCTCTGCACTTGACGAATGAGTCTTGTCGTGCCCAAAAGGAGGTTATGTCTGACGTCCTATACTACATAGTGCGGATATCAAAGGATCGGTACAGTTCCTGTGGCGGTAAACCACTGGAGGTAAGTATGAGTAGTCCCACACTTCATACTATACATTGATAATCCTGTCTCAGCAAAGGCCTACTCTCTAGGCTCAATACATCGATCTGTAGTTGTCACCTCTCATGCACTAATTTGTTCTTGCCCTTGTTATCTCAGCAAGTCCAACTGTATTCATTTCTTATGACGTTGCAAGTTTTGTTTTTTTACTGGCATTGTGCCTTCTCTTTTACAACAGAAAAACATCACTCACATCACATACGCCTTAACTCTCATGTCGGCCCCTCAAGTCTATGGAAATATAATAAGAGACCCAATGATAAAAATTGAGTACACGTGTATCTACCCATACATCCGCACTGTCAGTCTGCCGTACCCCATCATCCCCTTCTCTAGGTAAGGCCCACTCTAAAAGGTGACTTGATCACAACTTTCTGTAGTTTAAAAGGTAGTCTTGGTCTGTTACTGGAGCCACCTAACAAGTAGACTCACTTGAGATGCAATTTTTGTGTAACTTTGCCTTAGTGATGTCAGACTAGCAAGAAGAACTCCTGGATAGGCCAAAACTAGAGCCCAGACTTGTTCCTGGAGAGAACCCACAAGCATCAAATAATATCTGTTCCAGCTGGCAGATAGCTGTCGATACTTAGGTAGTGTTAAGGGTAAGCAACATTTGAGATGTATCTTTACTTGGTTATACTGCCTCAGTTCCCTACTTGAAAGCCACTACTGTCTTGTAAACTTTAATGGCTAGTTGCAGGTGGTTGGTTGGAATTTAGAAAATGCTGTTTATTACATTATATTTTGGCTTCTTGAAGTAATCCAACAATGTGTATGCTGCGATCTTGTCGATTTCAAATATTCTCTCTGATCGAGACGGGCGACTCAGAAATCAAGCGTTGTGTTGAATGACACTCGCCTGTCTGGATCAATGGGAGATTATTTGAAATGGACAAGATGGCAGTGTACACGTTGTTGCATTACTTAAATTCAATAAATGTTCCTCAATTAACTGAGCATTTTCTAAATTCCAACGAACCACCGCCTAGCCATGGAAATGTAGAAGACAGCTGTGGCTTTCAAGTGGGGTATTGGGGAAGATTAACCAAGTTAATGTTGGTAGAATGTTTTGCTTACTCTTAACACTACCTAAGTAGCGACGGCTATCCGCCAGCTGGGACAGCTAGTAATGTCAGACTAGCCATTGATTTATTAGCAAGAGTTCTTCCAGTTCAGTTAACGTGGACATGACAAGCGTTTCCCTCACAGTAATCCTGTGCTGTGTTTTGGTTCAGTGAGACGGTGATAAGGATGGGTGAGTTGGATGCCAAGGTGGAGATGGCCCTCTTCACAGATCACACCTACACAGAGGCGTTCCAAAGCTCACCTCTGATCCACCTCCGGGACAGGGTGTATGTGGAGATCAAGGTCGCGGAGCTGGAGGACTTCTTCCACCTGAGGGTTAACGAGTGCTGGGCCACACAGTCCCCCGAACCCAACCAGACAGAGGGCTCCGTTCACACCCTGCTGCGCAATGGGTGAGTGGACCATCAAACATTTATCCCTGGGAACATGTAAGCCTATTATTGCTCTTGAAACATGGCATGAAAAATTAATTTAGCAAGCTGTGAGCAATTCTGTTTTGAGCTGAGCTTAAACAATTTGGCACATCAGACATTTAATAAATGTAGCAGATCCAGTGTTAAGTTTGCTGATGAAGGTCTTGGATTTTCAATCTAATGATCAGGTAAAGATTTATTAAATCTAAGACACTCCCCCTCACAGGTGTGTGAATGACGAGACTGTCACATTTCTCAATACGACAATGGGTGCGAATGGAGAGGCCTCCACCATCCGGTACAGCTTTGACATGTTCCGCTTTGTCGTGGAGCCTCATGACCTGTACCTGCACTGCACAGTGCGCTTGTGCTCCCTGGATGATGAAGAACCCTGCATTCCTGTAAGTTCACTGTCAGGAACAGCTAAAATATTTGATTTCAAATTATTTCCTTTCATGAAGCAAATGCATTTTCTGAATTTGGCATGGCATACCAAGATTTTGTCTTTTCTAAATGATTCATCTCTGCCTTTCATACTACTACAGGAGTGCAAATCTATAACCAAGAGGGCAGCAGTGCGTGGAGACCCAACTCAAGGTCTACTGTCATATGGACCAATCAGGATTGACATACCAGACCGACCCCAGTCTAGTAAGGACTTGTGGTATCTTTTTTGTATTTCATTATCTACTGAAAATTGTAGAAAATATTTATTGTATCCCTTAATTGTATTTTGTTGCTGGGCTCAAATATTGCCCTTGCTCAGTCTACTTAAAAATAAAATAGACCAGAGGGGTGTACTACAAAGCTGAATCAATGAGTTAGCCAGTTTGATAAACAACCAGATGACCACATTTTCTGGTTCATTTAAGAATACTATTTTTGGGTTGAGTCAACTAGATCGTTCCCATTCAAAGTTTAATATTTTAAAAAAAGTGTGAATATTTAGGCACGTTAGCTAACTAATTTATCCTGCTTTGTAGTGTACTCCTCTGGGCTCATGTTGAGGCTAGGGGCAGGGTGGTATGTGCAGGGTTTTCCACAGTCTTGACTTTGTTCCAGATCTGCTGCTGATGATGGTTCCTGTGGCTGGCATCTGGGTCCTGGGCCTCTTCCTCCTCGCCCTAATCACCATCGCCAAGGCAGGAAACCGACGACTGTCACAGCTAGCAAACCGCTGACAATAATTTGAATAAAATTTAAAAAAGAAAGTATTTAATTTCTATGACTATTAAATGAGTCCCTCTCTGCAGAAATTGTGCTTTTCACATTTTATAAACGTCTTTACCACAGAGGTCTGAACATTCAGCCCTGTAGTTCAAGAATGTGGCTGTGGGTTAAAAACCAGTTCAAACATGAGTTACTGGTTTAAATCATGAATGGGTCTCTCATCAAACACGGCAACTCTTATTCTAGTGTCACTCGATTTGATCAAATAGTACAGTGTACTTGTAGTGATTCTTAGTTCTCAGCAGATGGCAATAGGAGCCATCTGTTGCTGCGTCAGATGGTCTATAGTTCATCCCCAGGGGGAGGGGAGTTTCTTTTCCAGAGAAATTGCTTTGTCTAATAGACTCCCCACAGTATGTAGGCAACATTGCTTTCCTCCCGTATTCTCTAGCAGAAAGTCTGTTCCCTTGTTTTCTCAGAAGGCAGTGAGGTTATTGGACTATCAATGTAATCCAGTGCAGCCTGCAAGAGATGCTGTGGTTGAACTCAAATCTAACAGACTTTCAGGATACTTGGAAATTTAAGACAATTGCGTTTTTATTTGTGTTATCCTCCACATTTACGTTTTCAGCACAGTGTGGATACATCTTACCACAGAACATGACGCTTGTTCAAACTAAAATACTTTTCTCTCGCTACTCTTCTCACTCACAGGCCTACTTCATCGTGCAGAAAAGCTATTTGACTGTAGAGGGGGAGTAGGTAACACACTGTAATATTCCAGAGGACATGCTGTTTTTACCATTCGCTCATGTGGGTCATTAGGAAATGGGCTTAAATTGAAAACTGACTCAGGCCTTTGAATAACCCATGATCACATATTTGGACAATTACAAATAATTTCTTCCAGTGCGACTAAGCCGAGCTGTTTCAGAAACGTGGATACTTTGCAAGCGATCTGATTTGAGCGCGCCTCGACCCAATGTCCAGTGGTTGAACTGCGGCGAGAACTTCATAAAACATACAAGAGACTGGATTTTGAACTCAACCAAGTTTGACTTTATGTAGTCACATAGCAGTACACATCACTTGACCGCAGTTTCCAATCACTTCTGACTGTGACCGTCCATTGCACGGGCTAACAAGAGCGCACAAAGATGGCATCCCTCTCGAGAAGCGCTTCTCCGGGGTTGTGGAAACAAATCATGGCTCCACTCGTCTTGCTCTTGTGCAACAGGCTTGTGGCCAATGCGGACGAAGACACTTTCAATGCAGAGGTACAGTATGTTGTATACATGTGTCCTTTAATGTCAAAATATGGACGTTTTTACGGTGCGTAAATCTGTGGAATTGTGGCAGTCGCCTGATGAGCTTAGTTTCCTTCTACTCTGAAACATTGCATGACCATGATCTCTACTATCCTGGTGGTCAGGTAGTTATCTAAACTGATATAGCATTTTATGTGATCTAATGACTTCTCATTTTCTCATCACTGATCATGAGGACATGAGCAGATTCATGGAAATATTTGGTGCGCACATTTATGACCCTTGACCTTTTCCGTAATGGGTATTGTGCAACATTCCCACTTCACGTATGGCAGGCATATTATTAGGAGTAATTATGTGTTGGGTAAAAGTTGGACCTCTAGGGTAAAACCCTATGTACATGCCTGTAAACCACAGAAAGTGTTCCTCACCTACTGTACTGCTTATCCTGCAGACATGTTGTGCAAGATATCCAGATTGATCACTCTTATTATGAGTCATCATTTTGGTGGCCTGAAGCTGCTTTTCTTTGTCTCTCTGTTTGTGTGTGTGTGTATAGGTCTATGTGTGCAGTGCATGCCTGTTTACAGAGAAAGTTGTGCTCAGTGGGCCCATTATGTTTTTAAATTCCCATGTCAAGGCTTTTGCAAGGCAAGCTCTCTGTGCTGTCTTGGTTGGGTCTCTTTTGTTTCCATTGCATTATCAATGGGATATTAATATTGTATGCCAGACCTTACAGCCAGACACACGTCTGCTTATGGCTATATTAATGGTATATATAGTAGAGCTGAATTTACACAGTTTATGTAGAATTTTTGTTGTAATTGACATTTATTTAACCCTGTGTGTCAGTGCTTCGTTTTGGGTTAACTGCTTACATTCCAAAGCTTTTACTCTTACACCCAATGATGCCTGCTCTGTCTGTCCTATTATCTATTGGGCCAATCCTGTGGTTATCTAAACTGCCAATAAGGAGGAGGTGCGACTCAAAGAGGAATGCCATGAAATAATAGAAACCATCTGTTTCTCTGTCCTCTACATACAGTGGGGAGAACAAGTATTTGATACAGTGCCGATTTTGCAGGTTTTCCTACTTACAAAGCATGTAGAAGTCTGTAATTTTTATCATAGGTACACTTCAACTGTGAGAGACGGAATCTAAAACAAAAATCCAGAATATCACATTGTATGATTTTTAAGTAATTAATTTGCATTCTATTGCATGACATAAGTATTTGATCACCTACCAACCAGTAAGAATTCCGGCTCTCACAGACCTGTTAGTTTTTCTTTAAGAAGCCCTCTTGTTCTCCACTCATTACCTGTATTAACTGCACCTGTTTGAACTCGTTACCTGTATAAAAGACACCTGTCCACACACTCAATCAAACAGACTCCAACCTCTCCACAATGGCCAAGACCAGAGAGCTGTGTAAGGACATCAGGGATAAAATTGTAGACCTGCACAAGGCTGGGATGGGCTACAGGACAATAGGCAAGCAGCTTGGTGAGAAGGCAACAACTGTTGGCACAATTATTAGAAAATGGAAGAAGTTCAAGATGACGGTCAATCACCCTCGGTCTGGGGCTCCATGCAAGATCTCACCTCATGGGGCATCAATGATCATGAGGAAGGTGAGGGATCAGCCCAGAACTACATGGCAGGACCTGGTCAATGACCTGAAGAGAGCTGGGACCACAGTCTCAAAGAAAACCATTAGTAACATACTACGCCGTCATAGATTAAAATCCTGCAGCGCACGCAAGGTCCCCCTGCTCAAGCCAGCGCATGTCCAGGCCCATCTGAAGTTTGCCAATGACCATCTGGATGATCCAGAGGAGGAATGGGAGGTCATGTGGTCTGATGAGACAAAAATAGAGCTTTTTGGTCTAAACTCCACTCGCCGTGTTTGGAGGAAGAAGAAGGATGAGTACAACCCCAAGAACACCATCCCAACCGTGAAGCATGGAGGGGGAAACATCATTTTTTGGGGATGCTTATCTGCAAAGGGGACAGAACGACTGCACCGTATCGAGGGGAGGATGGATGGGGCCATGTATCGCAAGATCTTGGCCAACAACCTCCTTCCCTCAGTAAGAGCATTGAAGATGGGTCGTGGCTGGGTCTTCTAGCATGACAATGACCCGAAACACACAGCCAGGGCAACTAAGGAGTGGCTCCGTAAGAAGCACCTCAAGGTCCTGGAGTGGCCTAGCCAGTCTCCAGACCTGAACCCAATAGAAAATCTTTGGAGGGAGCTGAAAGTCCGTGTTGCCCAGCGACAGCCCCGAAACCTGAAGGATCTGGAGAAGGTCTGTATGGAGGAGTGGGCCAAAATCCCTGCTGCAGTGTGTGCAAACCTGGTCAAGACCTACAGGAAATGTATGATCCCTGTAATTGTAAACAAAGGTTTCTGTACCAAATATTAAGTTCTGCTTTTCTGATGTATCAAATACTTATGTCATGCAATAAAATGCAAATTAATTACTTAAAAATCATACAATGTGATATTCTGGATTTTTGTTTTAGATTCCGTCTCTCACAGTTGAAGTGTACCTATGATAAAAATTATAGACCTCTACATGCTTTGTAAGTAGGAAAACCTGCAAAATCGGCAGTGTATCAAATACTTGTTCTCCCCACTGTATGTGACAACAGCAACCAATACGACCGATGGTATGGGTCTTGGAGAACCACATGTCTGTGAGGATAGAGCAGCCAAACAGATCAAAGTCCGAATGGACCTGCAAAACTCACCCTTGGAGGGGAACAAAATCACCCTGTTCACTGATGGATGCTGCTACAGGTCAAAGGACCCAAAGGAAGGAAACACTGCTGCCTATGCAGTGGTGAAACAAGACACAGAAGGAGGACATGAAGTAATGGAAGCAGAGAAACTTGGTCCCAATGAAGCTTCAGCACAGCTAGCTGAACTTAGGGCGTTGAGGAGAGCTCTACAACTAAGTGAAGGAAAGAATGTGGACATCTACACAGGCTCTGCCTATGCACATGGGATTGCACACATTGATGGACCACAGTGGTCCTCTTTGCTTTCTCTTTGCTGATCATCTCCAAGTCATTAAGGTTTCGAGGCTGACGTTTGGCAACTCGAACCTTCAGCTCCCGCCACAGATTTTCTATGGGATTAAGGTCTGGAGATTGGCTAGGCCACTCCAGGACCTTAATGTGCTTCTTCTTGAGCCACTTTTTTGTTGCCTTGGCCGTGTGTTTTGGGTCATTGTCATGCTGGAATACCCATCCACGACCCATTTTCAATGCCCTGGCTGAGGGAAGGAGGTTCTCACCCAAGATTTGACGGTACATGGCCCTGTCCATCGTCCCTTTGATGCGGTGAAGTTGGCCTGTCCCCTTAGCAGAAAAACACCCCCAAAGCATAATGTTTCCACCTCCATGTTTGACGGTGGGGATGGTGTTCTTGGTGTCATAGGCAGCATTCCTCCTCCTCCAAACACGGCGAGTTGAGTTGATGCCAAAAAGCTGTTGACCACAACACTTTCACCCAGTTCTCCTCTGAATCATTCAGATGTTCATTGGCAAACTTCAGATGGCCCTGTATATGTGCTTTCTTGAGCAGGGGGACCTTGCGGGTGCTGCAGGATTTCAGTCCTTCACGGCGTAGTGTGTTACCAATTGTTTTCTTGGTGACTATGGTCCCAGCTGTCTTGAGATCATTGACAAGATCCTCCCGTGTAGTTCTGGGCTGATTCCTCAACGTTCTCATGATCATTGCAACTCCACGAGGTGAGATCTTGCATGGAGCCCCAGGCCGAGGGAGATTGACAGTTATTTTGTGTTTCTTCCATTTGCGAATAATTGCACCAACTGTTGTCACCTTCTCACCAAGCTGCTTGGCGATGGTCTTGTAGCCCATTCCAGCCTTGTGTAGGTCTACAATCTTGTCCCTGACATCCTTGGAGAGCTCGTTGGTCTTGGCCATGGTGGAGAGTTTGGAATCTGGTTGATTGATTGCTTCTGTGGACAGGTGTCTTTTATACAGGTAACAAGCTGAGATTAGGAGCACTCCCTTTAAGAGTGTGCTCCTAATCTCAGCTCATTACCTGTATAAAAGACACCTGGGAGCCAGAAATCTTTCTGATTGAGAGGTGGTCAAATACTTATTTTCCTCATTAAAATGCAAATCAATTTATAACATTTTTTACATGCGTTTTTCTGGATTTTTTTGTTGTTATTCTGTCTCTCACTGTTCAAATAAACCTACCACTAAAATTATAGACTGATCATTTCTTTGTCAGTGGGCAAACGTACAAAATCAGCAGGGGATCAAATACTTTTTTCCCTCACTGTATCTCTGTTGTATCATTGTAGTCGTGGTTGCGGAGGTTTGGCTACCTTTCCCAAGCCAGCAGACAGATGTCAACCATGCAGTCCTCTCAGATCCTGTCCAATGCCGTCAGTGACATGCAGCACTTCTATGGCCTGGAGGTCACTGGAGAGATGGACCCTGCCACACTGAAGTATGGATGCCACTGGCAGCTTCAGTTACACTGTACAGACTGATATAGACTAAATTGATAATGATGTCAAGATAATGTAATAATGTAAGGTCATGATTACATTATAGACCTATTCTGAGATAGAGAAAAGTTGTACCTCCTGGTCTAGCACTGTGGAACCACTCTATTCTTAAATAAACAATGTATCTGATCCTATATATCTATGTGGTTATCTGGGCTCTATTCATTTGTGTGTTTCACTCCCCCTTTAGGGCCATGAGAAGGCCTCGCTGTGGAGTCCCAGACAAATCTGTTGAGCAGGCTGAGAATGGTGTGAGGCGGAAACGCTATGCTCTCACTGGCCAGAAGTGGGACAAGAACCATCTGACTTACAGGTGTGTGGTAGGCCTATGTAAGCTGGGGGATTCTAAGAAAACCATGTTGGGAATCTCAAACAGATTTCCCCCTGCTTGGGCTGCCTGGCGTGCAAAGTGTCAGTATAAACAACACTGCAAAGAGACCTGAATTCCCATATGTGTATAGACCACTGACAACACATAAGGTCATTTGTAATGGCCCTCTGTATATATGTGCTAAGAATATCTTGTCCTTTCCTCAACCCCCTCTCCCAGCATTATGAACACCACCCCAAAGATTGGTGAGGTGCGGACACAGGAGGCCATCCGCAGAGCTTTCAAGGTGTGGGAGCGCGTGACTCCACTGAGCTTTGAAGAGATCGCTTTCCAAGACATCACCAACAGCAGCCAGGACGCGCTAGATATCATGCTATTGTTTGCCTCTGGTTTCCATGGAGACATGTCTCTGTTCGAGGGCGAGGGGGGGTCCCTGGCTCATGCCTACTACCCAGGTCCCGGGATGGGCGGAGACACGCACTTTGATGCAGACGAACCCTGGACCCTTGACAACCACGATCCATCAGGTTAGAAAGACACTTGTCCCCTTTGCCCCATTTTCTCCTCAATCACTATTACTGCTACTATTTCCTTGTTCAAAATGAATATTGGCACTTCTCATCTCATATGTATATACTGTATTCTATTCTATAATATTCTACTGTATCTTAGTCCATGCCGCTCTGTCATTGCTTGTCCATATGTGTATATATTCTTAAATTCCATTCCTTACTAGATTTGTGTGTATTGGGTATATGTTGTGAAATTGTTAGATATTACTTGTTAGATATTACTGCACTGTCGGAGCTAGAAGCACAAGCATTTCGCTACACCTGCAATAACATCTGCTAAACACGTGTATGTGACAAATAAAATTTGATTTGATATATTTTGATATTCATTTTCTTTCTCCTTTTCCTATCTTTCTCTCTCCCTCGCTCCCATCTCTCTCCCTCCAGGTATTGACCTCTTCCTGGTTGCGGTGCATGAGCTGGGCCATGCTCTGGGTCTGGAGCACTCTGATAACCCCAATGCTATCATGGCTCCCCTTTACCAGTACATGGACACAAATACCTTCTCACTCCCAGAGGATGATAGGAATGGAATACAGAAGATATATGGTGAGGAGCCCGCCCTCAGGCCCCCACAGCCAGCGCGCACACACACGCACGGATAAACATGCACACACATGCATACATACATAGTAGCACCCCTTTAATTGACATCCTCCCTAACAGGGTCATGCCATACATGCCTTTACAATGATCCTACTCTCTCCATGACTGAAAATAAGTCATTGTGCCATTGTGTGTCGTACAACTAGTGAATGTCTGTATGTGCACTGCAGACACACTGATGACAGTATTTAGTGATAATTATCACAGTTCACACTCATAGTTAAAGGTTGTAAGTCTTGTGTAAAGTACTGTACGTCTGTTTTTCCTCTCTGTGTCTCTGTGCAACCAGAAGGTCTTCCTTCCCAATGAGCTTCCTGCCACAGCACGGAGTGGAAAATTAGACTCTCTGTGTGTGTGTGTGAGAATAAGAAAGAAAGAAACCAAATGAGAGATGGAGCTATTCTACTGAGCCATTTACTTTGTTATCTTATTGTTGTTGTATGGTCGAGAAGGAACCTGCAAGTATGCATTTCGTTGGACTGTGTATACCATGTGTATCCTGTACATACGACTAATACAACTTGAAACGTGAGAGGGGTGGGGGCAGAGAAAGCAAGCAGGGATATGTGCGAGGTTCTTTGTCAAACCCATAGCATTTATAATGTCATCATCTTGGATTGTGCAGGACCTCCAGACGATGCTTCCACTCAGGACCCACCCGCCACCTCTGATGATGACACCTCCCCAAACCAAGACCCCACCACCACTACTCCTACAGACCTAGACCCCACCGCCACCCCTGATAGTCCCCTTGAGACAGACACCCCCAGCCCCACCTATGACCCTGATACCCCAGACCAATCAGAACCAGATCCCACCGACGCACCTCCCCTACCCGACCCAGACCCCACCATCCCCTGGCCTGATCCCGTGCCAGTGACCCCCTACATCAGGAGGGATGAGCCTCGTCGCCCCCCAAAGCAGCCAGACCACACTGCCCCCAACATCTGTGACGGGGACTTTGATACGGTCACCATGCTGCGAGGGGAGATGTTCGTCTTCAAGGTGAGAAGCAGGGCTAGTCTAAAAATAAACTCTTTTGTATAGTTGTATAACTTCACACTCCATTCTAATCTTCCAAAAGAGGATGACGTAGTGAATATGTTCTGATGGTATCTTCTGTCCCTGCCAGGGTCGCTGGTTCTGGAGAGTTAGAAGGAACCATGTCCTGGACAACTATCCAATGCCCATCTCGGTCTTCTGGGTTGGACTACCTGATGATATAGACTCTGGTTATGAACGGCATGATGGAAAATTTGTCTTTTTCAAAGGTCTGTATTTTCTTTTATTCTCATATATTACGTTTATTTTATGTGTAATAGTTTAGATCTAATGGGTGCATACACTCCATAACACAGTGACCAAGATACCGTCCTTCTCCACTGCATCCCTCATGTTTAAAACTAGAGTCAATCCCCTCTTTATCATGTACTCTCCCCCCAGACTTTAATGGCTGATTTTTCACCTACTTTATAACTGGTTGAGAGTTTTAAATAGCTCAAAACAGCTCTGTCCCTTTAACACTTCTGTATCCACTGTTAAAAAACAACTATTCTGGCCAAATTATGTCACTACATAAACACTCTGAAATGTGGACGTCGATATTTGGGGTGGGGGAGAAATGAGGCTCATGGGGCGCAGCTAACAGCAGTAGAAAGCAGCTGGCAGGCCTGCTAGCCCTGGCCTGGATGGATTGCATCAGCCACTGCTCCAGATGCTGACTGCTAAGGTTTCACTTTGAGCAGAGAATAAGACTTGGAGGGCACCATTTATGTGTCCTGACTCTTTTGACTTTTCTGTGTGTTCTCACACAAAGAACCAATAGTTGCATCAATGCGTCAGTAGTCTGTTTAAAGCAGGTACAATGTTGTTTACAGTGGTTTTACGAGTGGATTGTTTTGGCTCTGTTAGTGGAAACGTTGTTTGTTGAATGTGAGATAAATCAAACCAGATAAAATCTTGCAAATGAAACCTGTGCTTTACTTCTCTTTCCTCTGTCCTCATATCTTCCCCTTCCTGATGGTCCTCTATCGGTCCTCTATCCCTCTCTTTTGCCCTCTACCCTCTCTTCTGTCCTCCCTCTGTGTAGGTGAGAGGTACTGGGTATTCAGGGAGGCTGACGTGGTGCCTGGTTACCCCCAGCCCCTGGTAGAGTATGGTCAGGGCCTCCCCACAGACAGGATCGATACAGCCATCTGGTGGGAACCCACTGGCTACACATACTTCTTCAGAGGAGACAGGTGACCACATGCCCCCGAATACCTTTACTGTACTTTTAGATTTGTGTGTATTGTTAGATATTGCTGCACTGTTGGAACTAGGAACACAAGCAATAACATCTGCTAAATATGTGTATGCGACCAATACAATTTTATTTGATTTAATTTACCCTACCATAACTGATCTCAACTGACTGACTGATGAGCTATCTTTTTAAATGTCAAATGTTATTGTTAAATGTCATTCATCTAGTCAAGGGAAAACAGATTTAGCCCTGAGTGTTGAAAGACTGAGAAGGGAAGAAAAAGTAGTTTGTTGTGATAGTCATCAGTCCTTTGTACCACACGGTTTCATGATCCGTCTTGTCACTGTCCTCTCCTGTAGATACTGGCGTTTTGATGAAGAGTCCCGCACCGGTGACAGAGACTACCCGAAACCTGTCTCCAGGTGGGGCAAGGTCCCATCCTCTCCTAAAGGAGCCTTCCTCAGCGATGATGGCTGTGAGTGAGTTGTTATAGGGGGGATAATGGCTGTAAAAAATGGAGGGAGGCTATAGATACTGAGCTGAGAGGGGAAAGGGTTGCCTGGCAAAGGTTGTCTAATGCAGACGTCTCATAATTCATCCTCTCCCACCAAAGTCCCACCCCAGCTAATGCTTTTCAAAGCTGTTTCCTATAGTGAAAAAAAACAACTATGATGGTCAAATGTCTTCCAGATAAGTCGTTTTTCATTTTTCCATTTTCATCTAAAGGGATAGGTACTTGTGAAGGAGAATTAAAATAGTCTCTAGTCCAAGTGAAGGCTTCTCCTTCACAGTACTGTAACTATTACTAATGGTTACATTAGTACCCAGCAATGACAGTATCCTGTGAAGTGTGATGAAATTGTGTCAAGAGTTGGAGCAGAAGATGCATACCCAAATAAGGTTAACAAGGTGCAGACTAATGGCTGAAACTAACAAATAGCATTTCCACAGTAAATTCCCTTGGCGCATTTCAACATTTGCATCAACAATATTTGTCTTCCCTATCCAGCTTACACATACTTCTACAAGGGCTCCAAGTACTGGAGGTTTGATAACCAGAAGATGAAGGACGACTCAGGCTACCCCAGATCCATCCTTAAAGACTTTATGGGCTGTGATGGAGCCCCGGACGTGGACCCAGACACAGATACAGACGACACAGTTACAGGCCGCAAGTGGCCCACAGTGGACCAGCCAAAACCACAACCACCAGTTGGCTCAGACCCAGATGAGGTGGACCGAGAGACCGATAAGGATTACACCAACGATGTGGATTATGAACCTGATGCGAAGGACAAAGAGATGGATGTGGTGGTGAAGATGGCTGAGAACGAGGCCAAGGTTATGACCCTGATCATGGTGACCGTGCCCCTGGTCCTGGTGCTGTGCATCCTACTATTGATCTATGCTATTATTAACACCCTGCAGAAGAAAGAGGCGCCCAGACTTTTGGTCCACTGCAAACGATCCCTGCAGGAGTGGGTTTGATCTGCTCAAGAAATAGATTCACAAACACACACACACAATACATAGGCACATACCGTTTGCACACATATACACACACAAACATTACATAAAAATACAAGCACATAGTTTCCGTATCTTTCCTCCATGGTGCTTTACCCGATCTTGTTTATAACATATAATATGCACTTTTAACGTCCCGTGTTTAGATTTGTTGTGTTAGTTGCGGTTGTAGTTTTAAGTGTGTTTAGCAAAACATTTCCGTGAATGTCCTTATAAAACAGAGTGGTGGTGCGTGTCTACAACCAGCAAAGGAATGTCTAACAGTTGTGTGTGCTGTAAACACAAGGGGGAGACAAGGCGGGTGGAAGGGAGGTGGGAGAAGGAGGGAAGGAGGTGGGACGAAGTGGAGGGAGGTGGGACGAAGGGGAGGGAGGTGGGACGAAGGGGAGGGAGGTGGGACGAAGTGGAGGGAGGCGGGACGAAGGGGAGGGAGGCGGGACGAAGGGGAGGGAGGTGGGACGAAGGGGAGGGAGGTGGGACGAAGGGGAGGGAGGTGGGACGAAGTGGAGGGAGGTGGGACGAAGGGGAGGGAGGTGGGACGAAGTGGAGGGAGGTGGGACGAAGTGGAGGGAGGCGGGACGAAGGGGAGGGAGGTGGGACGAAGGGGAGGGAGGTGGGACGAAGTGGAGGGAGGTGGGACGAAGTGGAGGGAGGCGGGACGAAGGGGAGGGAGGTGGGACGAAGGGCCGGAGCTCCATTGGCATTGTGCTTCATGAACTAGATTAACGAGCCCCACTCCTATTTTCTTAATACTTTTTTCCGGAGCGGTTTGGCTGGAGATATCTTCCTGTGGGACTCCCCCTCTCCCATGCTGCCATGTTTCACTGTAGACATACTCCATCTGCAGTCTCTGTTTTATCTGGGAGTCTGCTCTCCACTGTCTGCCTAGGAGAGGCTTTAATGCTAATCTGTGATGATAGGTCACATGGGTTTGTGATGAGAACTGTTGGAGTATTCATTTTGAACTTAGCCATAAGTCATGTCCCGTAAATCTTCTTGTCGTTTTTAGAAATGGAAATGCCCCTCTTTGCACCCTCTCCCTTTGTTGCCTACTCTTTGTGTGCCAACTTCTCTTATTCAAAGGCCAAATACTTTTTATACAACACCCAGAGGGCAATTATGTTGTATTGTGCAATTGACAGATGAAGACCATTAGTTATAAAGGTTTTTCCTCAGCAAAGCCACTATGCACATGTAAACAACAATGGTCGTATATACTTCAGGTTTGTGGTCAGTTTTGTATCACCTGTGTTCTGTCATTTATTGATTGTGTTTTGTATTGGTTGGTAGTTGGAGAGGAAGGAATACTTAAAATTGTAGTTGTACAAAAATGGTTTTATTCCAATTTGTACATTTGTGTTGTGTTCTCTGTCCATTAGCAGAGTTAAATGATGCATGCAGGACATGTTCTGTAAAGCCTTTACTCGAATGTATGAAATGTATAAAGATTTCACAATAAAACATGAATTAAGGCAAACCAGTCTTTGCATGCAATATTAGGTGAATATGCTATTAGGAGTAGGCTATTAACAGACTATAGTGCATTCTATTTATATATATATATATATATATATATATATATATATATATATATATATATATATATATATATTTTAGACTGTATTCAAATAAGTTTATGTCATGTCTGTATTTCTAAGCTTGACCAAAATATGGAGTATTTTTACCTAGCATCTAGTATTATCAGTGAGTATTGCAGTCAGTATTATTTTGCTCTGAATAACTTCTCTATGCTACTGTGACATACTATAGATACAACCTCTGACATCAAATTACTTTAAACACAGCCTGATTTTAAAATTAAATAGCCTAATATGGTCTGAAACATGTGCCAGAGAGTTCCTCATTCACGTCTTAAAGACATCCTCCGGAACTTTGGTGAATAGTGAGTATTTTGTAAACCTCCCGCTTTGGGCTGGATGTGTCAATGTGTAGTTCATACATCCATAATCTATGAGCAGAATTACTGTCGTACCTCAATTAGCCATGAATCCCTAGTTTGAAAGCGACTGTTTACTGGAAGCTGTGCAGCGCCATTTTCCTTACATTTTCCCCCAAGTGGGCCAGCCCCCAACAATTTGAGTTCCAGGTAGGGCTGTGGCAGTCATGAAATGTTGTCAGCTGGTCTCATGGTAATGGTAATTATAATTCCCGTGGCATTATTTTATATTATTTTATAGTAAGATCAATACAGTTGAACATAGCTGAATAAAATAGAAAGTATATTTTTCCCCAAACAATTTTTGTGTGAGTGCGCATATGCGGCTATTCTGTGTTGAGCGGTTAACAATGAAACAGGTCCTCCTATAAGCTTAATTTGAACATATTTATGCAACTTTAGTTGTGATACAAACGTTAGGCTGGCTGTATGTTTTGATTTCTAATGGGCCTACATTCTAAGGCTGCATGATGTGACCAATGATGATTTGAAAAAAGTTGCATGAAAGGGAAGCGCTCTGCTCTGTTTCTTGTGCAGGCTGCACACACTTCATCAGTCTCTCATTCACAATTCGACAAGCACTTGAAAAAATGTTCACGCAGTATTCTCAATTTAATCTGGTACAGATAGCCTACTAATATACTGTATGTGTGTAATTATTTTTTATTTAGAATGGCCCACAAAAAATAGTCATCCAAAGCCTGCACTGGAATAGCGAATGGAGGTTATGTGCAGTTACTTTATTAATATGCCAGGTAGGCTACACTGTTTGTAAAGTGGATTAATGTGCATACTTTTAAATAATTTAGCAATAAATATAGCAGCACGAGAAAGCTGGTATCCGCTTTTATTATATAGTGGCGGCTGGTAGCTTAGTGGTTAAGAGTGTTGTGCCAGTAACCGAAAGGTCGCTGGTTCTAATCCCCGAGCCGACTAGGTGAAAAATCTGTCGATGTGCCCTTGAGCAAGGCACTTAACCCTAATTGCTCATGTAAGTCGCTCTGGATAAGAACGTCTGCTAAATGACTAAAATGTAAATGTGGCCAGTCAAAACTCTGCTTTCACATGCGATTGCACAATGACTGGCTTTATAAATTGAAATTTGCCAACGTTATAGAATTACTGCTGTCTGTTCAGAAAGAAATGAAATAATTCAGAATATCCTACTACACCATGAGAAGGCCTATAATATAGTCGCAGAGGATCAATAGCTTCTTTTAAAAAATTGCCTAGCTGTGGATTGTGTGTAGCCCAATAACAAGGCATAGCCTACTGTCGGGAACGCGCAGCAAATCTGTCAATGAACAGCATGCAGACAAAACAGGCCTTTCGAAATATTTAAAATACAATCGCAGGAAAACACAGGTTGGAAAGCAAATGGCTCCTGCTGAAAAGAGAAGAGTCTAATACGTATGCTGTAGGCTACCAAAATATTTGATTAACTTCCAAATATTGTTTTTGAAAGAGAGGCTTTTGGCACAAGCGCATCGGCCATCACTGGCGAGTGAGCTGTGCATCATTGGGTGAGTCAGTGAAACTGGAAAGCATTTTTAGGACTATAATTTCCTGCTCATATTGTAGCCTAAAATATGTGCGTCTCCACACACCTAGGTCTAGGCTATTGATGGATTCAAGACAAGGTTGTTTTTATTGATCTCAGATTGTCATTGTCAAAGTAGCCTGTCATTTTGATAATTTGCGCGGTATTAAACATGATTCTGCCAGTCTCCAGTCATGTAAAATGACTTAGAATTGCATGAAATGCGTTTATAAAAGGACACATTTTTCCGGGATCAAAGGCTACTACATTTCTTTCCTGTAAGTGCCTCAACTCTACTTCTCTATGCCACTAAGCAAATGCAATGATATGCATGCAATGCTTTATTATAAAGGTGATTTTCCCCAGGTCACCCCTCTCGCTCACCCGATTTACAAATTAAGCACTGGTCTTTACATATACTAAATAATATGTGTTAAATTAGTTTTAATTTAGAATGGACCATTATCATGCACCTGTCGGAACAGGGGGGAAAAATACATGTAATCCGAATGCACTTGAATAGCGACGCTTTTCCCGCAGTTCATTTTCATGCCAGCCAGGTAGGCTACTCCGGTTGTAAAGCGAAGCAATGCACTTAATATCTGTAAAGTTGAGAATTAAGTATAGTAGGCCTAGCCTATAGAAAGCTGACTGGATCCTCCTCTTTTTAATATAGGCCATCAAAACTCTGTTTTTCTCATGCAATTCCATAGCATAGCCTATATAATTGTTGCTCAACAGGAACACTTATTTTATTCTATGCATCAAACAGCTATGAGGATCTGGCTCTCGCTGCACAACAGGTGATCCTATTCCGCTCAAACTCTGAATGGCAGGTTTCTCATGAAGTGTTTGATTTGATTTTCAATTGAATTTGCATTGATGTCAGAGTGATTAGAGGGACAATAGAGCACTGAGTACCAGCTATTAGCGACTGGCCATTAGCAAGTTTGGAAAGCTATTAATGACCATCAGAGGCAGCAGAGCGCAGTTTTGGAGAAGCCTAGTTACCGTGACTCATCAGTCACATGGAATTTGACTGCAGTCATGACTCCTGACTGCCGGTGTGGTGGTAATATGGTCACCGTAACAGCCCTAGTTCCAGCCAATGAGGTTCAGCCCCTCGCCATTTGAGTGACAGCTAGCAAGATGCACACACAACAGAACAAGAGAGAGAGAGCAATGACGTGGTGCACATAACTATATATACAAAAGTATGTGGACACCCCTTCAAATTAGTGGATTCGGCTATTTCAGCCACACCTGTTGCTGACAGGTGTATAAAATCCATAGACAAACATTGGCGGTAGAAAGGCCTTACTGAAGAGCTCAGTGTCTTTCAATGTGGCACCGTCATAGGATGCCACCTTTCCAACATTCAGTTCGTCAATTTTCTGCCCTACTAGAGCCAGGCCTAATCGCCCAACATCAGAGCCCAACCTCACTTATGCTCTTGTGACTGAATGGAAGCAAGTCCCCGCAGCAATGTTCCAACATCTAGTGGAAAGCCTTCCCAGAAGAGTGGAGGCTGTTATAGCAGCAAAGGGGGGACCAACTCCATATTAATGGCCATGATTTTGGAATGAGATGTTCAGCGAGCAGGTAATAATAATAATAATAATAATAATAATAATAATATAATAATAATAATAATAATAATAATATAATAATAATAATAATAATATGCCATTTAGCAGACGCTTTTATCCAAAGCGACTTACAGTCATGTGTGCATACATTATTGTGTATGGGTGGTCCCGGGGATCGACATTGTATGCCATTTTCCGGGACCACTTTTGGCTCGTGAGCGCTACTTTCAGAACTACTGGCTAAAAAGTATACAAAAGTACCGGATAATCTCTTTTATGCCACAGTGAATCAGGATTTGCTTCAATCTCACAAATCACCCAGCTCAGGCGCGCCAAGCCCCTTTCTCTTTCCATACTTTACAGATCACATATCCCCTATCTCTCACTCTCTCTCGCTCTCTTCTGTCCTCCTACCCTCTCTCTCAGGAGTCCCTTTCTGGCATGCTTATTTTTCCCATATCTAATGGAACTGGCTAACTGTAACCTGTCTCCACTGCATGTTGTCCAATCAGATTCAAGGACAGTATGGCACCACCATGTTCGTTCTTCCATTCTGGTCATGACCCAGAGGCCTTTTTCCTCCTGGCTTATCCTTTCTTTATCTCTTTATGGGATCTCCTGCCTTTTAGCTGCTCAGTCCTTATACAGCTCCATCTAGGGACAGAGCCATAGAGCAGAGTTTCTCATCTTCTCCACTTGTGGATACCCCGCAAGTTTGCGCATTGTTTTTCTAGCCCCACACATGTACACCTGATTCAACTAACCAAGGGCTTCATGATTAGTTGAGTAGTTGAATCAGATTTGCCTGTGTGGGAATATAAAAAGATATGTGCAAACTTGGGGGTACTCGAGGACCGGAGTTATAGGGGATCTAACAGACCCTACAAAAGACCCCTGCAGACAGGGACTATTCATTGATTTCTGCAGATGATATAAACCATCCACAGATTCCTGGACAAGAAGCAGCCATTTGAGATTGCTGTAAATTACCCATGTGAGTCCCCATGTCTTAGACCACATATGTCAAACTCATTCCACGGAGGGCCAAGTGTCTGTGGGTTTTCGCTCCACCCTTGTACTTGATTGATTAATTAAGGTCACTAATTAGTAAGGAACTCTGGTTGTCTAGGTGTTAATTGAAAGGAAAACCAAAAACCTGCCGACACTCGGCCCTCCGTGGAATGAGTTTGACACCCCTGTCTTATACATTCTAGATTGTTCTGGGTTTAACCTGGCTGCTCAATCCCCTGTTCTGCTGATGCTGAAGGTTCCCTCGTGATGCACCTCTGGCTCATTCCATGGTAATCTTCCTGGACACACAGTATTAAACTATCAGGGACAAATGGCCTTTCATTTGCCTAAGGCAAACCTAGTGTAATGTCATGTGTTCAGTGCAAGTCCCGTTACTGGCAGTGGTCCTGTCCCTGACTGTCCCTGACAGACATGCATCACAAGTAATGTTCCCCTGGGGTGTGATACAGGGATAAGTACAGGGATCACTGATTCTCAGATTCAGTAATTAGCTTAAGGACTGCCAACCACTGGCTACTGCAAGGACATCTTTTTTTGACCACACACCACAACAACAGTTACGTCAACAAGTGCTGCTGTCAAGAGGAGTAAAACAAGGTTGTCCACTATCGGCATATCTATTTATTATGGCCATCGAAATGTTAGCTATTAAAATCAGATCCAACAGTAATATCAAGGGATTAGAAATCCAGGGCTTAAAAATAAAGGTGTCATTGTACGCTGATGATTCATGTTTTCTTTTAAATCCACAGCTTGGATCCCTCCACAGCCTCATAGAGGATCTAGATAATGTTTCTAACCTCTCTGGATTACAACCAAATTATGATAACGTATTGGACCACTAAAAAATACAATTTTTACATGACCATGTAGTTTACCAATAAAATGGTCTGATGGTGATGTGGATATACTTGGTATACATATCCCGAAAGAAAGAAATGATCTCACTCCAATACATTTTAATAGAAAGTTAGCAAAAATAGATAAGATCTTGCTACCATGAAAAGGTAATTAATTACCTGTCTATTTGTGGAAAAATCACCCTGATTAACTCTTTAGTAATATCCCAGTTTACCTATTTGCTTATGGTCTTGACTACACCTAGCAAACAGTTTTTAAAATTATATGAGAAAAACATATTCCATTTTATATGGAACAGCAAGCCAGACAAAATTAAACGGGCCTATTTATATAATGAAAATGAATTCGGAGGGCAGAAATTATTAAATATTAAAGCATTAGACCTCTCACTAAAGGCTTCAGTCATACAAAAGTTATACTTAAATCCAAACTGGTTCTCTAGCAAATTAGTAAGACTGTCTCACCCAATGTTCAAGAATGGCCTTTTTTTTATGTTTAAAAAAGGTATTGGCTCAAACGCATGAAGAAGGAAAGAAATTCCACAAATGAACTTTTAAGAAGGCACACCTGTTAATTGAAATGCATTCCAGGTGAATACCTGATGAAGCTTGTTGAGAGAATGCCAAGAGTGTGCAAAGCTGTCATCAAGGCAAAGGGTGGCTATTTGAAGAATATCAAATATCAAATATATTTTGATTTGTTTAACACTTTTTTGGTTACTACATGATTCCATATGTGTTATTTGTACTATATCTTGATATCTATGATTTACATACAGTATATTGTCATAAGTACCCCCCCCCACCCAAATGACACTCCACTCACAGTGACCCCTCATTCTTCAGTGACCCCTGATTTTATTCATGCAACTCAAACAACTCAATTTATTTAAACAGCTTACATTTCTACAGAGAATCTTTTCAGTTTCAGGTTTTCATTGCTAAGGTCAGCAAAGTAGTGCCGTCCTTCACGTCCATAATCCCGTTAGCCGAGCCTCTCTTCATCCTAATCCAGACAGAACACTGCTGTCCATCCTGGGCTCTGTCCCCCTCGGGTATTCAGCTGCACCACCACTGAACATTCAGGTAAGATATATTCATACTAAATCTTCACCTAATATCTCTGACTGTATTTACTAATGGGTTTATTTTCTAATTTTCTGGTGAGATGGCAGTGTTGTGGTGTGCTTCTCTTGTAAACGGAGATTGTGATGCTTATGTGTATATATTTTACAGGTATATGTGAATATTTAAGAGTACAGTGAGGGAAAAAAGTATTTGATCCCCTGCTGATTTTGTACGTTTGCCCACTGACAAAGACATGATCAGTCTATAATTTTAATGGTAGGTTTATTTGAACAGTGAGAGACAGAATAACAACAAAAAGATCCAGGAAAACACATGTCAAAAATGTTATAAATTGATTTGCATTTTAATGAGGGAAATAAGTATTTGACCCCCTCTCAATCAGAAAGATTTCTGGCTCCCAGGTGTCTTTTATACAGGTAACGAGCTGAGATTAGGAGCACACTCTTAAAGAGAGTGCTCCTAATCTCAGCTTGTTACCTGTATAAAAGACACCTGTCCACAGAAGCAATCAATCAATCAGATTCCAAACTCTCCACCATGGCCAAGACCAAAGAGCTCTCCAAGGATGTCAGGGAGAAGATTGTAGACCTACACAAGGCTGGAATGGGCTACAAGACCATCGCCAAGCAGCTTGGTGAGAAGCTGACAACAGTTGGTGCGATTATTCACAAATGGAAGAAACAAAAAAGAACTGTCAATCTCCATGCAAGATCTCACCTCGTGGAGTTGCAATGATCATGAGAACGGTGAGGAATCAGCCCAGAACTACACGGGAGGATCTTGTCAATGATCTCAAGGCAGCTGGGACCATAGTCACTAAGAAAACAATTGGTAACACACTACGCCGTGAAGGACTGAAATCCTGCAGCGCCCGCAATGTCCCCCTGCTCAAGAAAGCACATATACAGGCCTGTCTGAAGTTTACCAATGAACATCTGAATGATTCAGAGGAGAACTGGGTGAAAGTGTTGTGGTCAGATGAGACCAAAATCGAGCTCTTTGCCATCAACTCAACTCGCCGTGTTTGGAGGAGGAGGAATGCTGCCTATGACCCCAAGAAAACCATCCCCACCGTCAAACATGGAGGTGGAAACATTATGCTTTGGGGGTGTTTTTCTGCTAAGGGGACAGGACAACTGCACTGCATCAAAGGGATGATGCAGTGTGGTACTGGGGCGGCAGGTAGCTTAGTGGGTAAGAGCGTTGTGCCAGTAACCGAAAGGTCGCTGGTTCTAATCCCCGAGCCGACTAGGTGAAAAATCTGTCGATGTGCCCTTAAGCAAGGCACTTAACCCTAATTGCTCATGTAAGTCGCTCTGGATAAGAGCGTCTGCTAAATGACTAAAATGTAAAATGTAATGATGGATGGGGCCATGTACCGTCAAATCTTGGGTGAGAACCTCCTTCCCTCAGCCAGGGCATTGAAAATGGGTCGTGGATGGGTATTCCAGCATGATAATGACCCAAAACACACGGCCAAGGCAACAAAGGAGTGGCTCAAGAAGAAGCACATTAAGGTCCTGGAGTGGCCTAGCCAGTCTTCAGACCTTAATCCCATAGAAAATCTGTGGAGGGAGCTGAAGGTTTGAGTTGCCAAACGTCAGCCTCGAAACCTTAATGACTTGGAGAAGATCTGCAAAGAGGAGTGGGACAAAATCCCTCCTGAGATGTGTGCAAACCTGGTGGCCAACTACAAGAAACGTCTGACCTCTGTGATTGCCAACAAGGGTTTTGCCACCAAGTACTAAGTCATGTTTTGCAGAGGGGTCAAATACTTATTTCCCTCATTAAAATGCAAATCAATTTATAACATTTTTGACATGCATTTTTCTGCATTTTGTTGTTGTTATTCTGTCTCTCACTGTTCAAATAAACCTACCATTAAAATTATAGACTGATCATGTCTTTGTCAGTGGGCAAACGTACAAAATCAAATACTTTTTTCCCTCACTGTAGTTGTAGTGGTGTACTTGCAATAGTTGAGAAAATGCAGGTTTGGAATAGTTCATTTTGATGACGTTTGCGAGGTTGTTGGTTACAGATCAGGTTGTACAGACCACTGCTAGCGCTATTGTCTGCAGGGGAAAATCCTCTGCTTTTGCATAGAACTTTTAGGCTGCAAAGGTGGAGCATGTTTTTGTGACTTTATAGTATAGTATTTTACTGGTGCCTGCTTCAATGCAAAGAAATCAAAGGTGCACAGTTTGAGCTATGATCCTCAGATTAGGCCAAAGATCAGGTGGCAAGGGATAATCTATCAGGGTTGAGAAAGTCAGTTATTAGTCTGGGATTAAATGGCCAGCATGCACAGGTTCTCTACAGGTATACTAGTGTGGCAGAGTGTAGGTTTTGTAGGTGCAACAGAATGGGTGCAACATGAATTCACTTGGCCTGTACATGGGATGACATGTTAGAGAATATATTGTTGTTGAATTATATTCATTATAACATATGGTTGTTTTAGAGACAAAAGGCAGAAGAAACACACCGGGATGATGATGTTTTCTGCAGGTTCTCTCATGGTTGATGAAATAAGTTTCCTTACTCTTGTTCCCGTCTTCTGTTCTGAGTTAACTTGCTTGTCCTCTAAAGCAGCTTATTAGTAGTGTGGTGTTGAACGTTATGCTCTGCAACATGCTATTCTATTTATTTCCTTTAAACATCTCTTTAACAGTCAAAGTCAGGTTTTGCCTAACAATGTGGTAGCCGCTTCATATATCTTGATTTACGTAAAAAGATCAAATCAGCACAGCTACTTTAATCACAGGCTCAAGCACTGGCAACTGTTATCTTGAAGCAGCATGTGGAGAGCGTTTATTGACCAGGCCAAAACACAACAACACAATCGCTGCCAGCAAGAGCCAAAGTCAAAGCTCCCCACAAGATCTCACATGACATGACATTGTAAATTAGGGGTCGGCAACAGCCGAGTGATTTTCTACGGCCCCCCAAAGTTTTTAGTAATATACAGTATACTGTATATATTTTTTAAAGAGATATGTGATCGTGTGTCAATGTAATCAAGGTATGAAATTATTGTTATTTTGAAGTGCAATCTCTTTTTGGGCTTAGTTGTGGTCAATTTGTAGTGTACAAAGTATTATAATTTTTTCTGTCCCACCAACCATTCGCCCCGACAAAAATCGCCCCGCGGCTGAATCTAGTTGCCTTCCCCTGTTGTAAATGCTACTTCATGTGCATTTAAATGAGTTCAACAATGACTATTATAATCAACATGACTAGATTAACCTTCAATAGTTTTATGTTCCATTACAGCATATCTGACATTCTGACTGTGTCTGACCTCGAGGTACCATACTAACAAATCTGGTTTATTCATATTATGGAATGCTCACCTCAGCAGGTGCAACTGAGTTACTGAGCTGTTTTCCTGCTCTTTGCCTTTGTCTCAGGATGTTTCACTGGGTGGTGAAGGTGGTTCCTCAGCCCCCTGACGCCCCTGGTTCTCTGGGAGAGGAGACGGCCAATCCCGCACCTGCAGCACCAGTAAGACCACACTAATCATGCCTGCTCACAGATCATCTCACCTGTATATCTGAAAACCTCACATGATATTACCAAAGAGATGTTAAAGATGCCACAATGTTTTTTCTTTATGACTTTTGTCCATTTCACATTATCTGATTGTCTCTCTTCATCTTTCTCTCCCAAAGAGAAAAGTGTCTAAAGATGAAGTCAAAAAAGAAGGTCATGCTCCTGTTCTACAAACAGTGTATCATAGATTTGTAACACAATGAAATAACTGTCAATAAGTGTGTTTTATAATTGCTTATGCAATTTGTTGAGCCTCTTCTTCACTTCTGTTTTATGTAAATATATCTCAACAGTCAAGGCAAAACCAGCCAAACAGAAAGAAGATGATATTTCAGAGGACAACAGGTATGTGTGTTAAGATGGACCTGTGAGCTGGTTGGTCTGCTTGCATACAGTATTCAACCCATGATGATGATGAAGGTGATGATGATTTTATTGATGTCATTTTTCTCTCTCTCTTCTCTCTCTCTCTCAGTATTCAGAGTGGAGTGATTACCTGGCTCTCCAATGGATTCACCATTGCTCTTCCTCAACCAACAGGCACCCCTAAACTCAGCAGATCCAACTCTGTATCCAGGGTGAGAGGCAGACAACACTATCTCTATCAAAGCCTGTGATTTCATCAATGGATTTTTTGGGGGGCTGTATAAAGGGTTACAGTTTTTCTCGATTGCTAAGACACATTTCTTGAAACCTTCACCCATTTTCTCAAAACTTTAAACACAAAACCAAATCTTCAAACTACATTCACAAAACCCCTGACTCTTCTGGCAAAATCAAGCAATCGCCTCAAAACCATTTAATCTGTGCTCAAAATCAAACAATGCTTTCAGATCATACACACAGCCAGTCAATATATAAACACTACAGAGCGTTCATTAGACACTACATCATTAGACACTGTCCCTTGCCAGGCAACGGGGGAAAAACCCTCTGGTGTGCCGGATCCAGCCTTGACAACACTCCACACCTATGTCACCACAGGCCAATTCCATTGCCTGTAAGAGATTTTCCCTGGTATATGGGTTTCGGTCATAGACCTTCCACCGCCACGCAGAGAAAAACTATTCTATTGGGTTGAGGAAAGGGCTGTATGGTGGAAGGCAAACATTTATGAATCGCTGGTTGATGTTGAACCACTCGCGTATCCGGACACCATGGTGAAAGCTGACATTGTCCCAAACCACGACATAGACAGGATGCACTGCCTGCTGATGATCCTGCTGCTCACGCTCAAACAAAACATCCCGAAGACCACCCAGAAATGTAAGAAGATGTTCAGTGTTATATGGCCCCAAGGTTGCATGACGGTGGAGAACCCCACGATTACTTATGGCTGCACAAAGGGTGACATTGCCACCACGCTGGCAAGGGACTATACAATGGCACGTTGGCCAATTATGTTCCTGCCTCTCCTTCTCCTTTTCACCAGATTGAACCCTGCTTCATCTACAAAAATGTATTCATGGGGCCTTTCCATGGAATCCAATTCAAACACTCTCTATATATAAAAATAGATAAATAAGTAGTTTAGTAAGTGATATAGAAAGACAGACTTCTGCAATAGTGCATTTGTATGCACTCCTGATTTACATACACTACAATATAGTGCAGTTTACAGTAACAGTAGGCTAGTAGCATAGCATTGTACTGTAAGCATCAGCGCTGAAAGTGTCTGAATGTACACTTACTTGCACATACTGAAATCGTAGCTCTTTGACCCTTTCTGAGTTGCGCTCAAAGTGTACTCTGTACACTTGCTTCATGCGTACCCTGTTGCGCTGGAGGACACGGTCAATGGTAGCAAGGCTGACACTGTTGATTCCTTCAAAGTTTACATTGTGTTCAACAACTCTGTGCTGTATTTCACGCAGTCAGATGGCATTGTTTTGAAGGACCATATCAACAATGAAAGCCTCTTGCTGTTGGGAGAACATAGCAGGCCTTCCACCCTCATGTGGTAGTCTTGCAATTCTACAAAAAGGGACAATGTACTTACAAATGTATACATACAGTAAAAATAGTAATGGACATTACTTCTATACGTAAAATATTGTATGGTAAGAAAATTGTTCTTTTTTTCACCAGTCCCCGTTCTATTGACAAAGTGATGTACTGAATCAAATGTATACAGTAAACTTTCAATGACCAAAAGAAAAAGAAACAATTACCTGTTCTCTTCTCTGAATGTCCTGATTATGGTGGCCACAGAGAATCTGCTCAAATTGGGTTGTACTCTTTGTCCTGCTTCCCTCATTGTCATTCCATGAACAACAACATGGTCTATCACAGTTGCTTGAATTTCTTCTGAAATTACTGTTCTTGGTCTTGCTCTTCCTCGTCCTCGTACTATTCCTCCTTGTCCACCACCTCTTACATGTACTCTTCCTCCTCTGCCTCTCAGATTGTTTCCATCCATTGTTGGTATCAACATTCAACGCACCTGTGCCACCTGTGCACTCTGAACTGGCTTATATTCTGTACAATTGGTTTGATCACATCATTAGAAACAAGTGTGAACAATTTGGAGTCGTTGTGTGTAAACGATGACAACTGTGTTGTAGTTGTGTTTAACTTTTGCTGCCTGTGTTTACCATTTTGTAACACAAGTGCATCACAGTGCGAAATGTGTTTTAGTGAGTGAGAATGTGTTTTGCAAAAAGAGTGATTGATTCGACAAATGGGTTTAGGCCACTGAGCATTTGGTTCAGAGAATGGGGTTTAGTGTTTTAGCAATTCAGAAAAACTGTAATGTGTGATTCTTTCACTCTCTCCCTCCACTTTCTGCTTCCATCCATCAGTCACTGCAGGAGGACGAAAGGTATGAAGGGAGAACTTCATCCAAGTGTTGATTTGGTTTATTTTGTTGAAGTTGTTTCTTGTATATTACTTCAAGGTATGTTGAAATGTGGAAATATATCAAACAAAATGAAAAAAGGTTGACAGTTCTATAAATTGACTGAAGATTCCTCTTTCCAACAGGAATGGGGTGATTAAGTGGATTGCAGATGGACTGAGCAAAGTGGTGCCCCAGCCAGATGAAAAGTACAGAGAGGATATTCCAGAGAAGGAGGAGGATGATGAAACAGAGGTGAGATGACACCATCATATCGTTGTAGCTTTGTTTTCAGAAGAGCACATGGTGCTCAATTATTAAAAATAATTGGTTCTTAGATTAAAAAGAGATTCTAAAAATCATGTTTGTCAGGTTGCCTCATAGGGCTTTTAAACAATATAATAACTTTAAAAGTGCTCCAGTTTCATTAAAACATGATTACTACATTCCTAGGAATTATTCTACATTAAATCCTTACCTCCCCATAATAACTCAATTTTCTCACTTAAAATCCCTTTGTAAAATAATTCTGCTCCCTGCTTGATGAATAACCGGAGATGGTCTATAATGTTAGACATTTAAATAACTAGCTTAATCAAAGAAAATTGTTCACAGGGCTTTCAGAGAGCTACAAATGAGAGAGGTTTATAAACTAATAATCTGTGACAATATCAAGGGTGTTAAGACAGTATAGATTTCATCTCATCATTATCTCATCAGTAACGGTTAGATATAATTCTTTATTTTACAGTAGGCCAACTGTTAGTTTTAAAAGCATTGAGCGGTTATGGCTTCCCAGCCTCTCCCCAGGTCCGCCTACCGTAGTTTAAATTGTATTCTAGTTCAGATTTCGGACATCAGCAGGGTGGTGCTGATTAGACAAAGTCCAGGTAAAGAAAGTCCAGTTGTCTAACAAGAATACCATTGTGCCTGAGTAAATTTTTCTAATACCGGTCATTCGTTTTTTTCTCTTTATGTTCTTCTATCTACTTAAGACGCATGAGGAGTATATCGCAGAGCCATGTGTAAGTACAGCTAAGTAACGGGCTGTATCTGGGCCGAACACCCACCCACCCCCTGAGTAGTCTGAGTAGTCTTATAAACACCTGCAATCAATCCAGAATAGTATTTGCTCTAAAGCTTCACATTTCATCAAACACTTATTTGAATTAAAGGATAGAATAAAATGTTGAAATCAAGGACAAATTATTTCAATGATTGATGAAATTTACTCTTTATCTTACAGACATGTGCAATAGGATACATACAGTGCCTTCGGAAAGTATTCAAACCCCTTGACTTTTTCCACATTTTGTTGGGTTACAGCCTTATTCTAAAATTGATTAAATAATTTTTTTCCCTCATCAATCTACACACAATACCCCATAATGACAAAGCAAAAACAGGTTTTTAAACATTTTTGCTAATTTATTAACCTCTACGGGATCGGTGTCCCGAATACTGTACGGTTGAGCTAACGTGCGCTAATGTGATTAGCATGACTGTTGTAAGCAACAGCAAACTTTCCAGGACATAGACATGTCTTATATGGGCAGAAAGCTTAAATTATTGTTAATCTAACTGCACTGTCCAATTTACAGTAGCTATTACAGTGAAGAAACACCATGCTATTGTTTGAGGAGAGTGCACAACAACAAAAAATGTATCACGGCAACTGGTTTGATACATTCACTCCTGAAGGTAAAAAATGTACTTACATTCAGTAATCTTGCTCTGATTTGTCATCCTAAGGGTCCCATAGTTTTGTTTGATAAAATCAATTTTTATATTCAAAAGTAGGAACTGGGTTCTACAGTTTGAACCCCTGCGGTCTCTGGCTCCACACCCACCCCGCCCGGCCATCTAGATGTGTGAAAGTTAGTGTATAAGCTAATGATCCATCATGTATGACATTCCTGGGAGTGTGTAAACTTATATTTTGTATTACCATATAATTTTTGTATGTTCTCTATAGTTATGTACTTGAAAATGTATCAATTGACCAATTCGGTACATTTGGGCAGAATTGATACAAAATAGTCCAGTATTGCAATGCTTCACTGGATCAATCTGAAACGTTGCACACACACTGCTGCCATCTAGTGGCCAAAATCTAAATTGCGCCTAAACTGCAATATTATATTGTGGCCTTTCTCATGCATTTGATCAGGTTCAAGTCTGCGCTCTGGCTGGCCCACTCAAGGACATTCAGAGACTTGTCCCGAAGCCACTCCTACGTTGTCTTGGCTGTGTGCTTAGGGTCGTTGTTATTTTGGAAGGTGAACCTTCGCCCCAGTCTGAGGTCCTGAGACTTATCCTCTGCAGCAGAGGTAACGCTGGGTCTTCCATTCCTGTGGCGGTCCTCATTAGAGCCAGTTTCATCATAGCGCTTGATGGTTTTTGCGACTGCACTTGAAGAAACTTTCGAAGTTCTTGACATTTTCCGTATTGACTGACCTTCATGTCTTAAAGTAATGATGGACTGTCGTTTCTCTTTGCTTATTTGAGCTGTTCTTGCCATAATATGGACTTGGTCTTTTACCAAATAGGGCTATCTTCTGTATACCCCCCCTACCTTGTCACAACACAACTGATTGTCTCATACGCATTAAGAAGGAAATAAATTCCACAAATTAACTTTTAAGAAGGCACACCTGTTAATTGAAATGCATTCTAGGTGACTACCTCATGAAGCTGGTTGAGAGAATGCCAAGAGTGTGCAAAGCTGTCATCAAGGCAAAGGGTGGCTATTTGAAGAATCTCAAATATAAAATATTGTTTGATTTGTTTAACACTTCCTTGGTTTCTACATAATTACATATGTGTTATTTCATAGTTTTGATGTCTTCACTATTATTCTACAATATAGAAAATAGTACAACTAAAGAAAAACCCTGGAATGAGTAGGTGTGTCCAAACTTTTGACTGTTACTGTATGTAAAGACAACATTACATTAAGAATAGTCTGATGGGTGACAATATTAGCCTATCACTTGTGAATGATGCCCAGCTTAAGGCAAGAAACAGTGCATACCGTTTTTTTGCAACTTTTTCAAATCATAGTCGCACACCTAGCCTAGCCCATAGGCCTATCTATATGTTTTGATAAGGTTTGTATCACAACTAAAGTGGCCAAATAACTTCTTAAAATTAAGTACATTAATCCTCTTTATAACCGGTGTAGAGCCTTCATGACATACATAGGCTGCACGTGAGTTTCAAGTTTGGGGAAGATAATTTTCACCATAAAAATGCACCTTTATAATAAAGATTTACATGCATAATCGCATTTGCCGTCACTTTCGAGAACAGTGTTTTCCCGCTAATTGATTGTATTTTGGAACATTCTCGCTTATATCCTACTGCCGTGTGTGCATTTCTGCGCTTAAAATGTGAAAAAATGGCTTAATAGTTTATCAACATTTTAAGATAAACGATCAGCCTAATTGCTTTTAAACGTTTTTTTGATGCGAGTGGTTGTATTAATTTGGGATCTATCGCATCCCACAACTGTACGAGAGTATGGTTGGAATATTTATTTATTGCACAGTAGGACATGTTGACCAATAGAATAGGTAAACTTTTGTACAATGGGGAATAGTAGATTGACATAGGCTAGTGCTTTTGCTATTCGTTAGGCCTACTCATCTTGTTGGCTGACGAAAAGTAGGCTAAATGTGGACAGTTTTAAGATTTTCAATATGCGCCTCGGAATTCAATGAGGGACGCGCGGAGTTGCGTCCCGGGTGTGTCGGTCTTCATTCACTTGTAGCCTACTTCTTAGCCGAAATGCCTGTGAGAAGGACCTGATCACGTGACAGGCATTGGCTACACCTGAGAGAGCTATGTGAGTGAGAGGTGCTTCAGAGCATGGCAGCCGGGAGAAGGGAATTATAATTAGCCTATTATATTCCGCCCAAGGGCACAATGGCTACTTTGGCCGCAAAAGGCATGGACTTTTTAGGGGGCATTATGGCCACACAAGGGGGATGCTGCCGGGAAATTCGAGGCCTGGTGAGATTATTTTCAAATGCTTGTCAAATTGTGAATGAGACTGATGAATTGTGTGCAGCTTGTGACTTTTTTCAAATCATCATTAGAGTACCATCATGCAGCCTTAGAATGTATTAAAAATCATAACAAATAGCACAACTCTAAATTAAGCATAAAGGATCAGTTTCTTTGTTATTTAACCGCTCAACACAGAATAGCTGCATGTGCACACTTCCTTTGAAGTAATTTGGAGAAAATACTCTTTCTATTTTATTAAGCTATGTTCAATTGTATGCTTCATACTATAAAATAATAAAAAAGAATGCCACGGAATTCTAAGCAAATCTTGTCTGCTAAATGAACTAGTGTAGCCCACAGCCATATGGCATAGCCATATCAGGGCCTAACATAAGGACAACTCAGAGTATGTGTAACAGTTTTGCTTCCGTCCCTCTCCTCGCCCCTACCTGGGCTTGAACCAGGGACCCTCTGCACACATCGACAACAGTCACCCTCGAAGCACCGTTACCCGTCGCTCCACAAAAGCTGCGGCCCTTGCAGAGCAAGGGAAACAACTACTTCAAGGTTTCAAAGCGAGTGACGTCACCGATTGAAATGCTACTAGCGCGCACCGCTAACTAGCTAGCCATTTCACACCGGTTACATATGCTATTCTGTTCTTCTGAAATAGACTACATTTTCTTCATATCATGTTTCTTTAGACCTAATTGATTTATTGTGATGGTGTAGGCTATATTAAATTGATTTATTAGACTTTTTTAAATGTAAATGTTCCAAAGGTCTGCATCAGTGGCTTGTAGGCTATGCGTGGAAGCCAGGAGATGGCAAACGTGTTTATGCTAATTAACGTTAAATTACTGTGAGACCGGCAGTTATTCGCTTGACAATCACCTGCTGACAAAATGTCATGACCGCCACAGCCCTAGTTGCACCCCATCCTTTTGCCCTCTGAACAGCCTCAATTCGTCGGGGCATGCTCTACAAGGTGTCGAAAGCATTCCACAGGGATGCTTGCCCATATTGACTCCAATGCTTCCCACAGTTGTCAAGTTGGCTGGATGTCCTTTGGGTGGTGGACCATTCTTGATACACACGGGAAACTGTAGAGCGTGAAAAACCCAGCAGTGTTGCAGTTCTTGACACAAACCGGTGCGCCTGGCACCTACTACCATACCCTGTTCAAAGGCACTTAAATATGTTGTCTTGCCCATTTACCCTCTGAATGGCACACATACACAATCCATGTCTCAATTGTCTCAAGGCTTAAAACTCCTTCTTTAACCTGTCTCCTCCCCTTCGTCTACACTGATTGAAGTGGATTTATCAAGTGACATCAATAATTTATCATAGCTTTCACCTGGATTCACCTGGTCAGTCATGTCATGGAAAGAACAGGTGTTTTCTATGTTTTGTATACTCAGTGTACGTTTGATGATTTGGGTTTGAAAACATTATTCTGAAAACTTTAACAGCATTGTTTTGTACATTATTGTAAATTGTTGTTAAGCAATATTCAAATAATCCAGATCCGGTGAAGTTGTCCTGTCCCCTTAGCAGAAAAACACCCCCAAAGCATAATGTTTCCACCTCCATGTTTGACGGTGGGGATGGTGTTCTTGGGGTCATAGGCAGCATTCCTCCTCCTCCAAACACGGCGAGTTGAGTTCATGCCAAAGAGCTACATTTTGGACTCATCTGACCACAACACTTTCACCCAGTTCTCCTCTGAATCATTCAGATGTTAATTGGCAAACTTCAGACAGGCCTGTATATGTGCTTTCTTGAGCAGGGGGACCTTGCGGGCGCTGCAGGATTTCAGTCCTTCACGGCGTAGTGTGTTACCAATTGTTTTCTTGGTGACTATGGTCCCGGCTGCCTTGAGATCATTGACAAGATCCTCCCGTGTAGTTCTGGGCTGATTCCTCACCGTTCTCATGATCATTGCAACTCCACGAGGTGAGATCTTGCATGGAGCCCCAGGCTGAGGGAGATCGACAGTTCTTTTGTGTTTCTTCCATTTGCGAATAATCGCACCTACTGTTGTCACCTTCACACCAAGCTGCTTGGCGATGGTCTTGTAGCCCATTCCAGCCTTGTGTAGGTCTACAATATTGTCCCTGACTTCCTTGGAGAGCTCTTTGGTCTTGGCCATGGTGGAGAGTTTGGAATCTGATTGATTGATTGCTTCTGTGGACAGGTGTCTTTTATACAGGTAACAAACTGAGATTAGTAGCACTCCCTTTAAGAGTGTGCTCCTAATCTCAACTCGTTACCTGTATAAAAGACACCTGGGAGCCAGAAATCTTTCTGATTGAGAGGGGGTCAAATACTTATTTCCCTCATTAAAATGCAAATCAATTTATAACATTTTTGACATGCGTTTTTCTGGATTTTTTTTGTTGCTATTCTGTCTCTCACTGTTCAAATAAACCTACCATTAAAATTATAGACTGATCATTTCTTTGTCAGTGGGCAAACGTACAAAATCAGCAGGGGATCAAATACTTTTTTCCCTCACTGTAGTTACAGTTCAAATTGTAAATTGTTTAACAATTATATAAATAGATTCATAATTCCTTTAAAACAGCACCCTTTCATAACCAAATAGCCCATTTAAAAATATATGTATGATTGGACAGCAGAGGAGCATTTTAAACTATTGTAATGTAATAACACAACATAAAATGATCAAAACAACTATATGGGAAATATTTCATATAACCATTGTAAAAACAAAAGTTTGTGATACTGAGTCAATCACATTCTGTTGCTGTAATTCAAATGCTGACTTCTCTTTTTCAGGTTTATAACATGAAAGATGTGCCAGGTATGTGTTTAAATTTGTCACACAGCAATCCCATTTTTGTGTACTGGTATGTCACAAATGTTATAACTGCTTTGACTCACTATTGACTGTACATTTATTTGATGTGGTCACTGATTGATTGGTCTATTTTCATTCTAGACGCAGAGCCCCTCCCACATATACCTGTGGTGGAGATATTTTCAGAATATGAGGAAGAGGATCAGGTACCACAGTTCCCCCCCAAGTGAGTCACACAGAGCCCCCCCCCCCCCCCCCCCCCCCCCCCCGCACTCCTCTTCCACCTGGACAGACACATATACACAGCCAAATTCACCTTCAGTAACTTCCCTTTCATCCCATCATGCTGACAAAATTTGTCTTAATCCTAATCCCCCCCCCCCCCCCTTTCTCGCTCTCTCTACCCCCCCTCTCTTTATTCCTCTCTATCTGTTTTCTCCCCATCTGTCTTGCATTGCAGTGTGGTTAACTGGATTAAGAATGCTATTCCTCAGCCTGTGATGCTCCCTGCAGGTTACGTAGAGGCGCTGAGTAACGCCCAACAGGCCCAGAGTAAGAGGTCATCTCTTGACAAAGGTAGAAGCAGAGTTTAAATGTTCAAGGCGGGTTACCTCGACATAGATTAAGCCTAGTCCTGGAGTAAGAAACATACTCAATGGAGGATTTCCATTGAAATAACTTTCTAGTCCCGGACTAGTCTTAATCTGTGTCCAGGAAACCGGCCCTGATAATATACATTTGCTAGCTATGTGTGTATGCTAATGTTGTACGCCTGTCTTCTCATTTTCTCTCAGTTCTCTCACCACCTCCTGAGTCCTTCAAAGGAGACGAGGTATCACAGAACTCTAAGTAAGTTTCACCAACAGAGGGCACTATGCTACACCCGTCAGAATGTAGGCTCAGCTGTCTGTCTGTCTGTCTGTATGTTTCTGTGTTCCTTTTGGCCCTTTATTAAGGTGTTTCTCTATGTGTCCCACAGTGTCGTGGGCTGGTTCGTGACGGGCCTCGGCCTCAAAATGCCACAGCCTGTTGCGAGATCCAGAGATGATGTTGAAGTTGTGCCGAATGGTAAGTTACATTTATTTTACTTTGTTTTTCACATTTTCTTACCTTCAAACCGGGGCCTCATTCTCAGTTCAAAATACAAGGAGATCTTAAATCACACAATGGACTCACTACAGAGTTGATTCACTTTGTGAATGACAGTTAGACCCATCAGCAAATTTTACAAATTCAGGGTAATTTAGATGTTATGCCATGCAGTAAGCATAGGCTTGGGACCTACTATTTCTATTTTATTTTTGACTATTTCTTCTATATTCCATAAAGTGTTAAGTCACAGAAGAGACTGTAACCCTTTCCTTCTGTTGGTCCGTTTTAGACAGACCCTAACTCAGTCTATCTTCTCCTTCTGTTTCAGGGGGGGAGCGCTGAGAGCCCCTTAAACAAAAGGAGGAACAGTGAGAGAGACTGAGAGACTGAGAGTGAGCGCAAAGAGATAGAGACAGAGGCAGAGAGACAGACAGACTTACCGACATAGATGATTGTAGACATTTATACAGATCCACTGAGCAACCTGGCAGCTGTGAGACATTGCGTTTAACTCACCTTACTCTTTATGGAATGCAGATATTTTTGTTTGATTTTAATTGTGTATAGTCAATGTATATCAGCTCATTAAAATGAACTGTTTGTCAGTTAATATCAGTTGTTCAACTCTTGTCGATATGTAGCAAGAAATGGGTCTTATCTTCATTGTAGTAATCTTTGAAGTAATTTGGATGCATTAAGAGATTAAATATATTAGAAAATACATACAGACACAGAGCTATCAGGCAACATTGTGACTCATAGTTTTTGTACATTAAATATACCATTTTTAAACTACCATTTTGAAGGTAAAGATTATTGCTGCACTAAAAAAGCGAACACAAAAACAACTTAAACCTACATGTTTTCCCTTGTGACATATTCTCATCGCCTTGAACTATGAATGTGGCCTAAGGTTGTAATGATGTTTATTTTCATCTGATTGAATTTACTTGAATGAAATCCACAAAAGAGGATTTGACAAACAGAGTCAAGGCGGTCAAGATATTACAAATGAGTTGATAAATTATGACATCATGCCTAAAATGTATGCCTGACAGTATAATAACATGTTGTGAAATATTATAAAAAGAATAAAGATATCATCTGAAATATTTTGTGTTGTGTTAAGAGATTGATTGATGATATGAAATTCATACAAAACATTTTGCATATAGTATTCATTTAAGCATATTGCTTATAATTTAAAAATAAAATAAGAGTGTCATATTTTAATTGTGTATTTCAAAGATTTTCTTCTCAAATAAAATGCTACACATCAAACACAATTGATTGTTCACATTACCATGTTGACTCTGGGTGTCTTATCAAATCAAATCAAATGTTATTTGTCACATACACGTGTTTAGCAGATGTTATTGCGGGTGTAGTGAAATGCTTGTGCTTCTAGCTCCGACAGTGCAGTAATATCTAACAAGTAATATCTAACAATTTCACAACATATACCCAATACACACAAATCTAAGTAAGGAATGGAATTTAAGAATATATACATATATGGACAAGCAATGACAGAGCGGCATGGACTAAGATACAGTAGAATATTATAGAATACAGTATATACATATGAGATGAGTAATGCAAGATATGTAAACATTGTAACAGTCCAGACTGTGACATACTGTATGACTGCTTGTCCCAAAGCCTCTAAAACACCCAAAGTAGTGGACCTGGTTCTGGAGGAAGTAGTAGAAGCAGACATGAAGGATCTGATTCAGGAGGTTCCAACACAGATGACACAGCCAACAGAGATGGCTCAGGCACAGCCGGCACAGCAAAAACAGCCATTGAAACCAGATGAGCCTGAACCGACTCTTCCAAATGTGCCAGAGTCAACAACCCCATCGCTGGAGGATGCTGAGACTCAGACGGGCAGGTGGATACCATTCATAGAGAGCATCAAGAGAGAGGCTGAGGGCGTAGCTATGGCTACCATGGAGGAACGGTAAGGAAGGAGTCAGACAAGTCAAATATCTCAAAGTAATTTATGTAGAATATCACAGCAGCTTACACACAGTCACTATTTTACACATTGTCTGGTTATGGTGATCCAACAGAAGTTGCATATCTTCTCATAGGGTTAACCATAATTATTTTCCCCTTCAGTCTAAGGGAGTAAGTTAAATTAGAAATAAAGTTAGCTAAATAAAGTTAGCTAAATATAACATACTAGTAATATCCCAGCAACGTACTCATCTCTGCAGGATGACCCAGGACCGCGTGGATTTGGTGCGAATGGCGGAGGAGGTGGCCAGACACACAGCTGAGACGGCCATCAGGCAGATGCAAGATGCCCAATCAATCAAACTGTCCATTCACAGCCAGGAAGCCATTCTGGAGGAAGATGAAGACCCAGAGTAAGTTTTCACTCAGGCTTAACCTCCTCATAGTCCTCTGCCTACTCCAGAACAAATGCATAGGCTAGCTCCAACCACCTGCCCTAAACTTTTATAGCATTTTAAATGTAGCATTTATTGGGGTCATGGTTTAAGAGACAACTGGCCATAAACATGTGAAGTCCCTATGCCTGTACATGTGTGGGAGGGGAGGTAAGGCTGTGGGTGTCTCATCTGTGTCCCTGTCATGCCCTGAACAGGTTACACATGCTACAGGAGGAGGAGAGTGAGGTGGAGCACACTAATAATAAGATGACAGAGTAAGATTAACCCACTCATAGACTCTTAGAAAAAAAAGGTGCTACCTAGAACCTAAAAGGGTTATTCCGCTGTCCTCATAGGAGAACCCTTTGAAGAACCCTTTTCACAGAGAGTTCTATATCGAACCCAAAAGGGTTCTACCTGGAACCAACAAGGGTTCTCCTATGGGGAAAGCCGAAGAACCCTTTTGAAACCCTTTTTTCTAAGAGTTAAAATAAGATGGTGTAATTAACCAAAACATAGAGGGGAACATGCCCATAGAAGTTCTCCCTTCTAAAATTCACTAGCTGCCTCAATGCTTCGCAGAGTTGAAAAAACAGTATACAGTGGGGAGAACAAGTATTTGATACACTGCCGATTTTGCAGGTTTTCCTACTTACAAAGCATGTAGAGGTCTGTAATTTTTATCATAGGTACACTTCAACTGTGAGAGACGGAATCTAAAACAAAAATCCAGAAAATCACATTGTATGATTTTTAAGTAATTAATTTGCATTTTATTGCATGACATAAGTATTTGATACATCAGAAAAGCAGAACTTAATATTTGGTACAGAAACCTTTGTTTGCAATTACAGAGATCATATGTTTCCTGTAGGTCTTGACCAGGTTTGCGCACACTGCAGCAGGGATTTTGGCCCACTCCTCCATACAGACCTTCTCCAGATCCTTCAGGTTTCGGGGCTGTCGCTGGGCAATACGGACTTTCAGCTCCCTCCAAAGATTTTCTATTGGGTTCAGGTCTGGAGACTGGCTAGGTCACTCCAGGACCCTGAGATGCTTCTTACGGAGCCACTACTTAGTTGCCCTGGCTGTGTGTTTCGGGTCGTTGTCATGCTGGAAGACCCAGCCACGACCCATCTTCAATGCTCTTACTGAGGGAAGGAGGTTGTTGGCCAAGATCTCGCGATACATGGCCCCATCCATCCTCCCCTCAATACGGTGCAGTCGTCCTGTCCCCTTTGCAGAAAAGCATCCCCAAAGAATGATGTGTCCACCTCCATGCTTCACGGTTGGGATGGTGTTCTTGGGGTTGTACTCATCCTTCTTCTTCCTCCAAACACGGCGAGTGGAGTTTAGACCAAAAAGCTCTATTTTTATCTCATCAGACCACATGACCTTCTCCCATTCCTCCTCTGGATCATCCAGATGGTCATTGGCAAACTTCAGATGGGCCTGGACATGCGCTAGCTTGAGCACGGGGACCTTGCGTGCGCTGCAGGATTTTAATTCATGACGGCGTAGTGTGTTACTAATGGTTTTCTTTGAGACTGTGGTCCCAGCTCTCTTCAGGTCATTGACCAGGTCCTGCCGTGTAGTTCTGGGCTGATCCCTCACCTTCCTCATGATCATTGATGCCCCACGAGGTGAGATCTTGCATGGAGCCCCAGACCAAGGGTGATTGACCGTCATCTTGAACTTCTTCCATTTTCTAATAATTGCACCAACAGTTGTTGCCTTCTCACCAAGCTGCTTGCCTATTGTCCTGTAGCCCATCCCAGCCTTGTGCAGGTCTACAATTTTATCCCTGATGTCCTTACACAGCTCTCTGGTCTTGGCCATTGTGGAGAGGTTGGAGTCTGTTTGATTGAGTGTGTGGACAAGTGTCTTTTATACAGGTAACGGGTTCAAACAGGTGCAGTTAATACAGGTAATGAGTGGAGAACAGGAGGGCTTCTTAAAGAAAAACTAACAGGTCTGTGAGAGCCGGAATTCTTACTGGTTGGTAGGTGATCAAATACTTATGTCATGTAATAAAATGCTAATTAATTACAGTGGGGAAAAAAAGTATTTAGTCAGCCACCAATTGTGCAAGTTCTCCCACTTAAAAAGATGAGAGAGGCCTGTAATTTTCCTCATAGGTACACGTCAACTATGACAGCCAAAATGAGAAAAAAATATCCAGAAAATCATATTGTAGGATTTTTTATGAATTTATTTGCAAATTATGGTGGAAAATAAGTATTTGTTATATACCCTTTGTTGGCAATGACACAGGTCAAACGTTTTCTGTAAGTCTTCACAAGGTTTTCACACACTGTTGCTGGTATTTTGGCCCATTCCTCCATGCAGATCTCTTCTAGAGCAGTGATGTTTTGGGGCTGTCGCTGGGCAACACGGACTTTCAACTCCCTCCAAAGGTTTTCTATGGGGTTGAGATCTGGAGACTGGCTAGGCCACTCCAGGACCTTGAAATGCTTCTTACGAAGCCACTCCTTCGTTGCCCGGGCGGTGTGTTTGGGATCATTGTCATGCTGAAAGACCCAGCCACATTTCATCTTCAATGCCCTTGCTGATGGAAGGAGGTTTCACTCAAAATCTCACGATACATGGCCCCATTCATTCTTTCCTTTACACGGATCAGTCGTCCTGGTCCCTTTGCAGAAAAACAGCCCCAAAGCATGATGTTTCCACCCCCATGCTTCACAGTAGGTATGGTGTTCTTTGGATGCAACTCAGCATTCTTTGTCCTCCAAACACGACGAGTTGAGTTTTTACCAAAAGGTTATATTTTGGTTTCATCTGACCATATGACATTCTCCCAATCCTCTTCTGGATCATCCAAATGCACTCTAGCAAACTTCAGACGGGCCTGGACATGTACTGGCTTAAGCAGGGGGACACGTCTGGCACTGCAGGATTTGAGTCCCTGGCAGCGTAGTGTGTTACTGATGGTAGGCTTTGTTACTTTGGTCCCAGCTCTCTGCAGGTCATTCACTAGGTCCCCCGTGTGGTTCTGGGATTTTTGCTCACCGTTCTTGTGATCATTTTGACCCCACGGGGTGAGATCTTGCGTGGAGCCCCAGATCGAGGGAGATTATCAGTGGTCTTGTATGTCTGCCATTTCCTAATAATTGCTCCCACAGTTGATTTCTTCAAACCAAGCTGCTTACCTATTGCAGATTCAGTCTTCCCAGCCTGGTGCAGGTCTACAATTTTGTTTCTGGTGTCCTTTGACAGCTCTTTGGTCTTGGCCATAGTGGAGTTTGGAGTGTGACTGTTTGAGGTTGTGGACAGGTGTCTTTTATACTGATAACAAGTTCAAACAGGTGCCATTAATACAGGTAACGAGTGGAGGACAGAGGAGCCTCTTAAAGAAGAAGTTACAGGTCTGTGAGAGCCAGAAATCTTGCTTGTTTGTAGGTGACCAAATACTTATTTTCCACCATAATTTGCAAATAAATTCATTAAAAATCCTACAATGTGATTTTCTGGATTTTTTTCCTCAATTTGTCTGTCATAGTTGACGTGTACCTATGATGAACATTACAGGCCTCTCTCATCTTTTTAAGTGGGAGAACTTGCACAATTGGTGGCTGACTAAATACTTTTTTTCCCCACTGTACTTAAAAATCATACAATGTGATTTTCTGGATTTTTGTTTTAGATTCCGTCTCTCACAGTTGAAGTGTACCTATGATAAAAATTACAGACCTCTACATGCTTTGTAAGTAGGAAAACCTGCAAAATCGGCAGTGTATCAAATACTTGTTCTCCCCGCTGTATGTGTTTGCGCTGTCGATTGGTAACTTGTTACACCAATGTAAAGTATTTTCCACTGCAGAACCTGAAAGTTAGTTGTTTAGGTTCCCAATACCATAACCCACTGCAAGCTAGCCGATAGTCAAGAAATCATGTAATCACATTCACATCAAGCATTTCATGTCCAGTCTCGTTCCAAATCTCTCATGGATGCTCATTACTGATTCCCGCTGCTTTGGCATCATTTTACCACAGAGTTTCTAAATCCAGAGGCGCAACATCGCAAGGCTTTTGGGAACGCTTGCGAAACAGACCAAGCAGACCAGGGGTTTGAGAAGTTAATGAGAGAAGTGAAAAATTCTTCCTTAGTTGTTACAAAAATATAAACACAACATATAAAGTGTTGGGTCCCATGTTTCATGAGCTGAAATAAAAGATCCCAGAAATTTTCCATACGCACAAAAAGCTTATTTCTCTCAAATTTGGTGCACACATTTTTTCACATCCCTGTTAGTGAGCATTTCTCCTTTGCCAAGATAATCCATCCACCTGACAGGTGTGGCATATCAAGAAGCAAATTAAACAGCATGATCATTACACAGGTGCACCTTGTGCTGGGGACAATAAACGGCCACTCTAAAATGTGCAGTTTTGTCACGCAACTCAATGCCACAGATGTCCCATAACACGCCTCCAACGTCGTTTTAGAGAATTTGGCAGTACATTCAACAGGTCTCACAACCGCAGACCACGTGTAACTACGCCAGCCCAGGACCACCACATGCTGGTTGGATGCTGAGGAGTATTTTTGTCTGTAATAAAGCCCTTTTGTGGGGAAAAACTCATTCTGATTGGCTGGGCCTGGTTGCCCAGTGGGTGGGCCTGGCTCATGGCTGCGCCCCTGCCCAGTCATATGAAATCCATAGATTAGGGCCTAATGAATTTATTTCAATTGACTGATTTCCTTTTATGAACTGTAACTCAGTAAAATCTTAGAAATTGTTGCATGTTACATTTACATTTTTGTTCAGTGGTTTGAGCCAATATCTTAAGTAGTTGAACATGTTAGTACTCCAACCTTGTGAAAGCAACAAACTGACACGTTTAACTTTTCGTCAAAAACAACTTTATATCGAAGGAGTGCCTTTGATTTGACAGCCTGCACATGTGTGTCACGGTTTCGGCCGAGGCTGCTCCTCTTCCTTGTTCGGGCAGGCTTCG